GCTTCTGAGGCCGAGAATTCAACAGATCCACTTCATAAGCATCATGGTTCTGGAAAGGCTTTGCCTGATTATTTTGGCTTCATTATACAAATGCACTTGGACATACATGATTGATTTAAATCTCCTCATATTGTGAGCAAGCTGAAAATGACAGTGGTCCTCCCCAATGCGAGTGCTGTTGGAGACAGTGTCTGCATGATGTTTAGCCCATGTTGATCAAATTCACCCAGCAACATGGCCAGGAGAATATGGGCCAGGGTGCACAGTATCCCTGGGGAAGAGCAGGCTCAGAAAGAGCAGGATTCATGGAGGAAGGAGGAAGCCAGGAAGAAGAATGAACTAGACGAGGGCAGGGAGGGTGTTCCTGAGTCACACACAGGTAAGCATCTTCATTCAGTGTGCTCTGTGACATGATCAAGTCCTCAAAGGAAGATAAACTTCCTCCAGCAGTGTGTGCAGTGTGTAGACAAGCACATCAACATAGAGATTGTTCCCCAAACATTCTGAGTAAAAGGGCTTTTAATGCACCAGGAATGGATGAAATGGAGATGTGCTGATGGTGGATGGCAGATGTGCACCTAACAGAGGCATGGCTAATCATCAAGTATTTTTAGACCAAACAGTGAACTACACTGTGTAGTTACCTGCATTGTACAAAACGATTTGGTTAAAAAAAAACTACTAAGTGCATCTTGTCATGAGCTAGATGTTTACAAAAGAACAATAAATCTAGTTTCATGAACACACAACATTTTAGGATTAGAATCAAAAACTTTCCTAGAAATTCCATGCACGAGTGTTTTGGGAAAGAGGACAATCAAGTGGAGAGACAACCCTTCAATTTTTCTCAAGTGCTGTACAGTGATTTGTGTGCTCCATGTGTCCTGCTAGTCTCAAGCATCTCTTCAGTGTATTTGGTGTATGGGTTCACATGGATGAGTGCTTTGTGTGTCTCACAGAGTAATGTATGGCACCTTCCCAGGGTCATTTGAAAGAAAAGCACTTCTAGGCTCAGTTTCTATACGTGAAGATGCAACCAGTGAGAGAATGATTGCACTTTCTGACACCATCATATCCTGTTTCTCCAATCCACTCACATCTCTTTCCTAAAGTATGGCTGACAAAGGGCCACTAATAAGCACTGGTTGTGATGCAGAATTCAGAGACTGAGCAGGTGAGAGACAGAGCTGTGAGGTCTTCACCAGCACAAGTCTACACTCCTGTAACTACAACTGGGACATTACACATAAAGACAAGTGTCATTCATATGTGTAGGTCGCCTGTGTTCACTACAAACACCTGGGTCTATTGGACCTCACTGGCATTCACCATAGGAAGCTATTACCAGGCACATGGAAAGCCCTGCCAGCCTCCTTTTCTACACCAGAGCTCTACCTTTTCCAGCCAGTCTTGGCAGAGTTCTATGAGCTCCCACTGCCCTGAGGGGCTATTTGAACCTAGAGCTTGAATGATAATTTGCATATCAAGATAAGTCACTATGAGGGGACAGCTTTGAATTTCTTTTATACTTTCTCTGTCTCATGAGATCAATGCTCTTAAAAGGAAGTTGTGTTTAATTCTGATAAGAGATAAGAGAGCACACATTTTAAATCTATTGTTGGAAGTTTGTTCAAGTGAGATCCATGTTGCTCTCTGATCCCCACCATGACACTGGGCTGGGGAGAGGCAGGATGCAGAGCAGGCGTCCTTGGGGGCAGAACCAGCATTAGGCTGGGCCAAGGCTCAGCCAGGCTGTGCCCAGTCCAAAGTGGCAGAGCCTGATAAAAGTGTGCAGAGAGGGGACAGTTGGGTGTGTCGGGGTGGCTGGAGGGCTCCCTAGTTATGTGTGAATTAAAGTAAACACTTAGGGAAAAATAACATTAAAGCGTTATTGGGAGACATATGTAAAGTTCCCTCAGCAATATAAAATACACCATTAATTCTTAGATAGAGTTAGATCGTTACTTTTTAAAATTGTATTATATTAGTATGTTTAAAATACTTAACAAATATTTTCATCATTAATTGCTATTATGGCTACTGAGGTCACTTCAACTCCTTCTCTCCAAACTGCCCAAACTATAATTGGCTATTTCCAAAATGTTGCCTTAGGATTAATGCCTGCAACTCATATGGATAACAAAATTTTACAAACTCTTCTCGCCTTTGAGGCACCTGTCTCCTGTCTTGATGAACACCACTATATACAGTGGACACATGGTCAACCTAAAAGTGATGCTGCATTGTGTTTACTGTACATTTATCGATATTCTTTTAATCTTTCTGAGACCTGGGAAGAGTTGCAAAGTCCTCTTCAGGGTGCCTTTCATAAAAATCTGGATGAAGACATTGCTAAGCTCCATGGTTGGCTTCTGGAAAAACATCAAGGTCTTCAAATAGAGGCTCATACTGCATCCTCTCACTGATACAGCCTACTGGCCACATATTAGTTCCCGGATTCAACACTGACATTTGGATTCTTATAGCAGTCAACATAATCTTTGTTTGGCTCTTCTTTGCAGTCCCAATTGTCATTTGTGTCTCTTCCAAAAGAATTTCCATATGTAAGCCATCAAACCCTTCCTGCATCTAATCTACACTTCCACTTTCCCAATCTGAATGATTAATCAAAAGAAAGGGGAAATTGTTGTGAGAAAAAAAACAAAAAGGGAGTGTGAGAACTGGAAAAGATTCTGTCCACAAAAGCTCATACTCCTTGAATGAAAAGGTTGACTTTATCGGAGTTCTACAAGATGGCATTCAGCGATTAAAGCAAGTCTTTATCTTCAGAAACAGTTTGCTTCAGCCAGTGTGTCCTCACAGCCTCCAATAACCGAGTATAAATTAGAGGGGCACATGGCATGGAACAGATTATCCTGTTCCCTCCCTATCCCATGTCCAAAACTCCTGAGTAAATGTTTTCTTCTCATTATTACTTTTCACACCCTTGAGTTCAAAATCAACAACCACAAATGGCCCTGATCACATCTCCTTCCCTAAGGTTGCACTGAATATAAGCAGGTGCTGTGGGGATTTTGGAAAGAAGAGAGTCATGTCAAAAAGTAACCTTTCTTATCCTCTCAGCAGCCAGGGCTGAACATTGTGACAGTGCAGCTAGAGATTGCGGGCTGTGCTTCTTCTTCTACACATCTATCCACACAAACCTTCTCTAAGGGTGCATTCTGCAAAACAGAGAGACAAGGCTATTTCTGGAGTTCCTTATGGTTTGAAATCATCTTATGTGTGCTGCTGGGGCTGAGCCCACCTCACTGATCTTTTGTGCTGCTCTTCGGTAAGAGGGAGCTGCAGGCTCTCAAAACGGAGAGGGATATGAAAGATTTAATTTCCAATCTGAAGCATTTATTGATGCACGAGACAATTCCTTATCACTGGGATGCAACACACATGTATATTTTTAAATGGTGCTGATGATTAGATATTCAAAAGAAATCTAACCACAAAATTTGCAAGTTAACTTCAGGTTGGTACAAGTCATATCTACACACTAAGTGAAATTCCTATGCAATTAAATGGAACACATGATGCTGACTTGGACTTGGATACTTTACAGCAGCTCGTGCATCGCTGGGTCGGATCAAGTGCTGATTTAATGCAGAAGGGAAACTGCACAGCCCCCAAGGAAGCACTAAACTACCCCCTGCTTCCTGTTCTGCACCTGCCCCTTGGCCTTGCCTAGTTCTCCATAGATCAACGCGCCCACTGCTGGAAGAGGGCGCCCGTGCACGGAGGTTTTTTCTGAGCTCACACTGAGGTCTCCTCACTGTATATGCTGTGCAGTGGTACAGGGCTGTGTCCTCCATTCTGAGCCTGCTCATCTGCAGATACAGCGTGTTCCAGCCGTATTGCCTAGTTTTGTCAGATGAGTTGAGCAAATAAATCATTGGGGAGTGGCCGTGAATCTGATCCTCAAAGGGAATGTCCCTAACAGCAGCTTCCCATGTCCACAATCCCTGTGACTCAAATGATATCAGTCAGTTCACAACGAGTGGCAGTCCAGGTCCAATCTGATCCAGTCTTGTATTCAGGGACTCAGAAAGTACAAAGAGACCTGACATCCTAGTTCCCAAGGGATTTTGGCCTTCCCTCTGGCATGTGTGTGCTATGTACATCTTCTTCCTTCATGGATCATGCTCATTCCTTTGAATCTTTCCATATCCACTATCCAATGGGCAAGAATTGGTCAATAGTGCCCCCAATCATGCTGAAAGAAGGATTTGTAGATGTCCAAAGAATGTTGAAGGAAATGTAAGTAAAGCAAAGACACTTTGAAATATGAACACACACAATATTTCAGACATTACATCAGAGTTAGTGAGACTCTGCACTATTAACACTGAGGGGCACAGAAACCCTTGCTCAGGCAGGGCCATATGACTGCAAGATGTGTGACAGCATGATAATCTCTATCAATGGTAGGCCTACAGAGGATTCTGCACATGGGAATCCACCCACACTATCTAAGGAATTGGCCTGTAATGGCAAGGGTGAGGAAATGAACAGCTCTAATAAGTGAACACTCAGATCAACACAGAGAATCATGTCCAGCCATTCAAAAAAAAGGGCTCTGTATGAACAAGAACTGTGAAGTGACCTTCAGAAGAAGGTGACCTACAAATGCATCTGAGGTTGGAGGTAAGTCTTGCAAAGAACACAGAAATAATTTTCACGCTTGTATGTTTCTACGTCTAAAAACTAAGGAGGCTGTGCAATCATCTGAGTGATGATTTCATTGAAAATTTATTGTGCAATCCATAAGGAAATATTTGGGACACAAACCCCTAATTCTTGAAAACATAACACTTGAGGAAAAGAGATATAAAAGATCCTGGGATCCCTGTGGCTGGGCTTGGGATGGAGGTTCTAATTACTTGGAGAGAAAACCCTCCAGGCTGTCACCCTTTGGTGAGAAGCAGGTTACTTACAGCAATGTGTGTCGAGCGCCACCTGCTGGTCCTAAATTCCCCTGCAAGGCGGTTTATGTCTGGGCTCACAGTTGCATCAGAGCACTGTGGCTCTTGCACAGTAATAGATGGCTGTGTCCTCCGCGGTGACAGAGTTCAGTTGCAGGGAGAACTGGTTCTTGCCTGTGTCTATGGAGATGGAGATGCGGCTCTGGAGGGACGGGCTGTAGCTAGTGCTACGACTAGGATATATGTACCCCATCCACTCCAGGCTCTTTCCAGGGATCTGATGGATCCAGCTCCAATAGTAACCACTAGTGATGGAAGAGCCAGAGACCGTACAAGTGAGAGACAGAGTCTGCGAGGGCATCACCAGTCCAAGCCCGGACTCCTGCAGCTGCACCTGGGAAAGGACACCTAAAGAAAAGAAAACATTCCGGTCATTCACTTGCTTTCCAAACCTTCCCATGGACCCAGTTCCCACACTGAGGACACTCACCATGAGGACATGTCACCAGGCACAGGAGAAGACCCAGCAGTCTCATCTTATATACCACAACCCTGACTTTCTGAAAGACTTCAGCCCTGTTTGGGGATGGAGCTGTGAGCTCCCACAACCCATGAGTGAATTTTAAGCTAGAGCTGGAGTATGAATTTGCATGTGGGGTGCCCAGTTCTTATGTGAAGGGGAAAATGAGGTCAGGACATTTCTAGTCTTTTGTGGTGCTGAGAGCAACCTCTCATCCTGAGTTCTAGTTGGGTTAGATTCTGTGATAAGTGGTTTCACAGGAATAGTGGAAGCAGGGCAATGAACACCCCAACTTCCTGTCCCTGATCAGCATCCCACAGTCTCTACCCTCTACTTTACCCCTAGGCTGAGTCTCTTCCCATCAAGGTTGCATCGTTGCTGCTGCAGGAAGAACATGAGCATGGGCCCCCTTTGTCTCCCTGATCTCTTTTTGGTGTCATCCATGCCCTTGCTTCACCATCATTGTTGTTGTCAGCAGAGGTTCATTTGCTACCTGCTCTATGAAACCCTGTGATCCAAGTCCCGCCTGACCAGATCCAGCAGGAACTGGAAATAAGGATGTGGGTCCTGTGCATATTCTTTAGAATGTTTTGGATCATTGGGGAAAGAAGATGTCTGGGTGAAATGGTTATCCTCCCATAACCTTGTGCAATTACTGAGTGAGAACTGCCCTTCTATGTTCAGCAACTCCTCTTGTTCTCTGGAGATGATTCTTAAATACAAAGTGCCTATCTCTACCTCACTATCCACTGAGAAACAATTATGTATTATGGACATCTTGCAGACAATAACAATATCCCCAGAAGTTCACCTGAAACCTGTGCTTGATAATCATACTGTATCTGTCATTCTTAATGTTGGTTTGTTTGTTTTCTCCAAGAACACCACATTGTAGTCCAGGTACTGAGGCTGAGGCTGACCTTGAATTCTCTAGGCAGCCAAGGCTATGCTTAAATGTATGGCATTCTCTCCCCTCATCTTCCTGAGGCCACCATTAGAGACTTGTGACATGATGGCTGGCTCAAAACATATATTGGCATTCCTGTTTTGTGAAAATGGCTCTCATATTGAAGTTCACCTTAGTTAGTCTTGGTATTGTGATTCGATCTTTTCAGAATCCCATTTGCCAGCAATACACATGTGTACCAGCACTCCTGTTTGGTGGCCCACATTTCTCTTCTTCTTCTAGACATCCTATGAAAATTAGCACCACCTGCAGTGACTCCCCCTTGTTTTCATCTTTTATGCACCATGTTTCTATTTCACATTTAACATCTTCAGGGTTCAGTCAAACCTGACAATGATATTCATCAGGAAAGGAGAGGTGAGGTCCACTTAATGAATTCCTCATCAGCAAGACTAGTAGACCTCTCCACATCCAAGAGCTTTGAGGACAGGAAACTCAGTATTAAGATGCACATACTTTCTGGACCAAAGCCAAGAGTACACATCTGACCTTCATTTAGAAAACTTTCAGATTTTGAGAAGTCTTTGGTATTTCCTTACATAAGAGCAAGAATAATAGTTACAAAGTCACTGTCATATCCAGTTCAGAGCACAATGATCAGGACTAGCAAAGGATTTGAAGGCTTGGCCCTTTTGTGTAGGAACCAGCTCGCATATGCGCTGTGACATGATGGAAAATACCTAGTGAGTTTCTTTTGGGAATCATCCAAGAGCTGAGGGAGTCTCCTTATGTGTCTTGTGGAGCAACCCACACCTCTGCTCATGACCCACTCTGACAGACATTTTTCTGTGGTATCAATATTCGGTGGTGGGAGAAGAAGTGAGAGTCCAGGTCTTTGTCAGAAGCCTAAAGCTCTGCAGCCTGCTCACCTGCAGGTCCTCTGTGTTCAGGTGTGAAATCCCTGTGAATAGTCTGTAAGTGACACACACATGTCTGCTCCTTTCCTGTGCTTGACCTGCTGCCCTCGCCCTCCACTGCTTCCCAGGACACTATATGTGACTGCCTTTACTGCTCATCAGTCCATGGTTCAGTTTCAGTAACAGTCCCGAGGTGGGAAGCCATTCACAGGATTGAGGAGGATGTGTGGTCACAGGGGATGACTCTTTAGATAAAACTTGTTCTGTTGATTGCAACAGACAAAATCACCAGTTACATCTCACTCTACTACCTTATAGATGAACTTGTTTTGATTTTTGACAAATCTCTGCAACACAGCAATTATTTTAATGTTTGCTTTATTCATCAGCAGGCAATTACAAAATGCTGGTTTGGGGACAACCCAAGAGTGCTGCAGAACAAAATGTGTAGACAGGAGGTGAATCCGGACCTTCTGGGCAGAGGTGTGTCCTCACAGATACTTACACTGGGTTCCTCAGACAGTACCTGAGAAACTTGTGCACTGCATGAAATTAGACTTTATGAACTTCTAGACTTATAAGCAGTTTCTAAATGTTGGTTAACATGGAGAATTTGAATCCACAATCAACTTGCATAATTTTGTGCAAATGAGAAATTTTGATCATGTTAATTAATTATTGAATGATAAAATGAAATGGACACTTCATTGTATTAATTTCAAAAGATTCTAAATTATTTATAAAATACTTCTCTAATGTCACACTTGTTAGTTTGAAAATATTTTCCCTTTAAACATCATGATTTAGAACTTTGATTTGTTACAAACATTAGTGTTAGTCTAAAGGATTTGAGATATAAATTCTGTAAGATCTGAATATCATAACAAATATCACAGATATAATAGGAGCTTTATTCTATTTGGAGAAAGGTGATGAAGTGTATGTTTTCTTAGTTGGAGATAATAGTGTACCTATTAAAAGTTTTCACAAACTAAATCTCTTTACTTTACTTCTCTATGGAAATTACTGCTTTCAATAACCCAAATTTAATAAAACTCCTTCATTTCATACCAGATAACTGTGCAGTGCATATGGTGACTTTAGTAACTGCCCCTTCTTCCACACACATTTTTGTTGCCTATTTTAAATTAATTTGAAGAGTAACATCAATGTGTGTGTAAACATTCAACTGCATTTGAATTGGAGCTTCCAATGAATCAGTGAAACACATTGTTTGCTAAGCCTACCTCAAAACACTTGAGGAAATCCTCATCAACTGTTCAGTGCCAGACGTGAAAAATCTCACATGACAGTGGGCTTCATCCCATCAATTTGTCCCATTACCCACAGTTTCACAGCCTCATAGCCAAGGTCAGTCACAGTCAGCAGGAAGCTCTGTAGAAACCTCCGTGGTAGCCCCACAATTATTTGTCTCCCCTGGAACCAGTCATCTGATTTGCTATGCCATAGACAGTCATCATTTTGTACTCAGCTAGTTTGGTTTCATGTATGACTGCATTGTCTTTTCTGTCATGCATAGAGCTGTTTTGATTTGTTTACAATATATTCTGTGCCATTGTGTTTTCTATCATGTTTTCTTGAGTACATTTGAGACTTTAAAACACCTAAGGTGATAGTGAAAATATTTGACTCCGTTTCATCTGTGCCTTCATATAACTGAACATTTAAATTGTTGAACAATGATATTTTGTCACAAAGAAAATAAATGTATAAAATAATAAACATGTGACTGATTAAAGTAATGTTGGCTCAAAATAAACGTTTGAAAATTAGAGGACAAATTTTACATCAACTGAAATAAAAGCAAGAACATGGAAATCTCTGAATGCTCCTGTTCTCAGTGTCATTTCTACTGAACTTCTTTCTTATTAAATGAGGAGTTTTAAGATCTTTTAATGAGAGTCTTATGTAAAATTTCAGTGTGGGTTACGGGAATGTTGCTTCTTCTGTATTTTGCTATATCTGACGTACAGGTTGTGGATTCTGTATTACAGTAGTATTTCCATGTTTTGTGCACACCATAATCAACTTTCTGCTGAGAAACATATAAGAGAATATATTCACATCAATCATTGTAAATCTATACTGTATTTTTCTACCTTGTCATTTATGAATGTGATGTACCATATGAAAATAACTATTTTCTTTACTGAGAAAAGGATACAAAATGCAAAATTCTGAATTTTGATAAGTGAAAGCTGTAGCTGTTATGCAATACTTTATTTTACTGGATTTCTTGACTTTGGGGAGTTTTTAAGTAGCCAACAAATCAATCATTTTGAGATTTTTGTTAGGATTTTACGTGATATTTATTTTAATTGTTCATTTTTGCTGTTTCCATTACCTCATAGCATTATTGTATAAATGTTAAATATCAACCTTAAAACATTTTTAAAAATGTGCTCTTGGGGTGGGCTCTGTCCTTTGAATTCCATTCCATTCTAGTCTAGTCTAATCTATTGTATTCCATTACATTCCATTTCATTGCACTCTATTCTATTTTTTTCATTTTTCTTTTTTTATTGGAAACCAAATTCAGGACCTTTTATTGGCCAGGCAGACGCTTTTGCCACTGACCTCTGTCTTTTATGCAACTCAGTGATTTAAATGCCCAGCGCAACTGTTGGTCATGCGTGTCCCCTACTGGTCATAAGTGCCTCCTGCATGAAGGTTTGTGTCTGGTTTCACTCGTTTCTCTCTCTGTGTCGCTGGCACAGCAGTGCTCAGACTGATCCTCGGTTCTCAGATTGTTCAGTTGCTGATTCCTGTGCTCCTGTTGATGGCTGTGGAGGTGGTGAGTTGGCCCTTGATGGAGTCTTTACCATCCTGCATTGCAGTATCTTCCTAAGTGAACAGGAAAACAGTGTCCTTTTTATAACCCTTTTCAGGAGCCTGGCATCTCTTCCCTCCTCGACACAACACTGGGCTCTAAGTTGTCTAATATATATAATATTGCTTTACCTGTGTCAATGTGAATGTATAATCCAACAGGTACATTTTGACATATGTGCATAATTTATTAAATATTGACAAAATCGTGTGCATGTTCAAGATACACAATGGAACAGTACTCATAAATTATCCAGTGGTTTACCACAAATACCTGTGCTATAACTTGAATTCTAGCTCTTCCTAAATTGAAACATTTTTAACCGCATGAACCTGTGTCTGTTTGTTGTGTAAAACTTAGCAATTTAATTTTAGATGACAATGAT